ATCTCCGCCGTCAGCAGCCCCCACCAACTGTGAGCCCGCCACCCCTGAGCCCACAGGAGGCTGCGCGGAAGAAAGTGCAGGCCTGCCGCGGCCGCGCCGAGCTGCCCGGCTGGAGGCGCACAGGGCCTGTGCACTGTGCCCTTCGATCGAGGACGGACACAGAGCGGCCGCCCGTACAGAGCGGAGTGCGGCTGCGAGCCGGGGCGCTGGGGACCCCAGTGCTGCCCCCCGCTGCCCAGGAGCAAGGTCACCGGAGGTGAGGCACCCCCCTCCGCTCCCACATGGCCTACAATTCAGGGAGAGGGTACAGGCTAAAAGGCAGGGGTCGCTGCCAGCTCTGGTGCTCACAGCGACCAGAGAATTTCTGCCATCAACCAGTAAAGTCACCAAAACACCCTTTTCCTGTTAAGAATCAAAAGTGAAAGCAGAGAACTCAGCCGTCATCCTACCAAGTAGACCAGACAGGACACATGCCCCACTCGCAGCAGCTGAGGCCGTGAGCAGAGGGGGCACAGGCCCTCCCGTCCTCACTCCGCAAGCGCCTGAAGTGCCATGTTCACTCGAGGCCACTCACTCCCGAGTCCAGCTTTCAGGACACAAGCCTCCTGAGCTGCCACATCAGCTGTGACACCGTCTCGTCTAAGCCTCGTAGAAAGGCTTCGCTGCGGGTCACTCCTTCCACATGAGGAGGGCTGCCGCCTGCAGGCAGCGAAGGCCCGCCCCGCGCCCAGCGCAGCCCCAGCCCGCTGGCTGACCCGCACCCCGCGGAAAGCCGGAAGTCCCGGCAGCTGCGTCTCCGGCTGCTTGAGGCCACGAAAGCCATAAACATCCTGGGCAAACCCAGTCCATCTGCCTCTAACAGGTCTTTGCCTTGGTGCGCGCGTCGCTGTGTGAGCGGCTGGGCTACGCGAGACCCTGGCGAGCACCCAAGCAGTGACTCACCTCCCCCGCCCGTGGGACACCGACTGGCCAGTCAGCAGGGAGGCCGGCGCTCTCCCCGTCACTCACTGCACAGCCCCGTCCCCACAGTGCTGGGACAGGGCTGCCAAATATAGGCAGGAAAGGGCCTCCTGCTTTCAAGGCACGGGGTGGGGGAGGGGGTCCTGCTGGGCGTCTCCGGCACTGATATCACTGTGAGCTGCGCCGACCTGGGTGTCCCTGCCCCCCACCCCCGTCACAGGCGGTGTGACACGGGTGGTACGTGTGTACAGAGCTTCACGCAATCACTCCAGGAAGGCTGTCCGCTGGGCGCCGCTCCCCACGCGTGTGAGGCTTCGCGAAGCCTTTCTGCAGCGGCTGTCTCCCGGCTCCCCCAGGCGGCCTCGTGCAATGTGCGAGTTCCTTCGTTGGATCCGTTTCTTAGAGGATGAGAGCAGAACGCCCGGAAATGGACTTCCGCAAGGACATCTGGCTACCCTGGAACCCGGCGCGAGGCCTCCCGATTCTCGCACCAGCACCGCGGCCCGCAGCACGCAGGTCCGTCTCCCCAGAGCGCCGGGCCGGCCGAGGAGAAGGCTCCTTGGGGAAAGCACGTGCTGCGTGAGACGGCTCCGCGGGCTCATACAGTCCCTTCGTGTTCGCAAAGGTCACTCTGCAGGCAAGTGGGAACGAAGCGCAGAGCATTCTACTGAGGCAGAGGAAGACCTGAAGGGGACGGGGAACTCGCAAGTGAGGTTCCCCTGAGGCTTCAGCCCCAGTTGGTAACTGGCTTCAGGGACTCCTGCTATGGAAAGCGGCTGCTCCAGGAACCAAACGTGTGACCAGGGACTCCAGGAGCCACTCTGCCTTTGTGCCTGGGGGTCTATGGGGGGCAGAGGTGGCATCTGAGCCATTATGTTCCAGGAAGGGAACACCCATGACACAGCTAAGCATGTTGGCCAGCAGATAAAGAAGAACAGGTGTACCAGAAAAGTCCCAGCCAAATGGCAACGGGACGGCAGCTCTCCCCCAACGGGCCTTCCCCGCAGCCTTCCCACCCCTTCTCCCCCTTATACAAGGGCCAGCTTGAGGTCAGGTGCTGCAGATGCATAACCCACCCTGTGGGAGCCGCATGCTTGGTTGTTTTTAAGAAACCGCCAGCTTTTCCAGGGCGGCCGCTCTAGTCCCCATCCCCGCCGGCCCCCACGGGCAAGCCGGTGTCTCCACCAGCACCAGGAGCGGTCGCTATTTTTTATTTCAGCCACGCTGATAGGTGTGTGGTTTAATTTGCATTTCCGTAATGGCGAATGATGTTGAACATCTGTAGTCTCTTCATGTTTCTTACCCACTTTCTAATTGGGTTGTTTGTTTTACTGTTGACTTTTGAGAGCTGTTCGTTTATTTTAGGGACTAGTCCTTTGTCACATTTGTGGTTCGTGGCTGTTCTCCCTCAGTCTGCGGCTTGTCTTCTCATCCTCTCAGCAGAGTCCTCAGCAAAGGGAATGTTTGTAACTGTGAGGAAGCACAGTCTGTCAGGTTTTCCTTTTATGGACGGCACTTCCCGCGTTGAGTCGAAGCAGGAATTCTCTGCCCAGCCCTCACTCGCAGGTGTCGCACGGTGGTTTTCCCCCGAGTGCCGCAGTCCTGCAGCTATGCCGTGGCTCACTTTGCGCAAACCGGTGTGTAAGGTGCGAGGTTCGGGCCGGGTTTGCCCGTGGGCGCCCAGCCCCCCGCTGCCCGGGACAAACACTGCGCCCAGTGTGCCGCAAGCGCCGCCCTGTGAGGCCAGGGCTCCCGCTACGCGCTGGACAATACGAACTGCCCGGTTCGACAGTCTGAAAGCTGCAGGCCCGAACGAAGCCTGCGGCAGCTATAAAGGCGCAGTGAGAAAAAGAACCAACATGTATATCTATTAATCAGGATTTTATTCCCACAGGGGAAAAGCGTCACCGTTATAAACCCTGTGGCAAGATGACAACGTCTGTGTCTGAAGCAGGCCTAGCACGTGACTCCTGTGTTACAGAGGGAAAGGCTGAAACCGAAACATTCTGGTACTTCACACAGACTGAGGGCAGGACAGTTCAGTTCAAATAAACCTCCAGGGGGGACGACAAACCGGTGAAGAGGCCGGCCACTCGGGGCGTCCCCGCTCACAGGCGGCCTGGGCCGCAGGGGCCGGCGCCCGCTCGGCACTCTGGCTGGCTGGCTGGCTCTGGCCGTCCGGGCTGGGCTCCGCTCTGCAGCTCTCGGAGGCCCCCTCCGCCACCGGGAGCCGAGCGTCCTCGCCACGAGCTGGGGTGAACGCCGGCGACCGCAGCCCACTCACCGCGAGGGAAGACAGAGGGCATGCACGCAAGCAGAGCCGCTCTCAGGGCCCGGCCCCCTGTGAGCCCCTTGTTTACGAGTAGCGATGCGCATCACTGAAGGGAAGTAAACTTCCTTTTTCACTCTCCCAGGCTCACCCTGGGAAGTACAATTAGCAGAGACTAGCAAATGAAGGAAACCAAAATACTTGCTCACTTTTTAATAAGCGATATTTTAGAAAGGTGGGTGGGAAAGAGGAGAAGGGGGAGGAAGAAGAGGAGGAAGAGGAGGAGCAAGAGGCGAGGTGGGCCGAGTTTCAGAGCACACAGGCCAGGCCGGCTCTCCGGAGGCCTCCTTCCTCCGGGCCACCAGACAGCAAGCGGAGAGGGTGCGTCCTCCCAGCCACTGCCTCTCCTGCACACCATCTCTGAAGGGGCTCAGAAATGACAACACCTTGAAATGGGGGTGTGCTCTGGGCAGGAGAGCTACAATTTTCCTAAAGAAACCACAGCACAAAAAGTGACCCATGTAGGAGGTACCGCTGCTATAAATACTTGGCGGCAGAAGCTGATGTCATCCCTCTGTCCAGGAGACACCCAAACAGAACTTGCCAAAAGAGCAGAGAAAGCACACAGCAGGAACCCAGCGTGGTGAGTGCAGGTCCAACACACCCTCCAGCACCGAGGCGCACGGCCCCCTGCGCTGCTTCCCCCCAGGCATCCCAAGGCTTTCTGGCTGCACTGGCGTACCCCGGGTCTCGGCCAGCAAACTTCCAGGCCCCACTTAACCCCCAAAGTCCCTCAGCAAAACCAAAGACGCGTGGGAATTTTTCGTCCAAGTGGGTAATGGCAGGGAAGTCTGACCTGTCGTTACCAGCAGCAAACCCACCTACTGTGAGATGCCCCTTGCTGCGTGTGGGCCCATCGCTCCAGTCCCAGGGCGACTCCCACCCACAGGACTGGGGGTGACGGCGGGCCAAGCGGAGGGCCGTCAGCACGACCTGCCAGGCCACGGCCCGGGCAGTGTGAACCCAGCCACTCAGCCTCAGGGAGCCAGCGTGACAATCAAAACCGAGCATTTCTGAGACATGTGTGTATGAGAGCGGGACCAGGGCCAGGCTGCACGCGACAGGGTGCCTGGGCCAGTGCAGAGGGCCCTGCTCCGGCCCCATCGCCCCCAGGCACGCATCCATCCGTGCGGTGGATGACCCCCTTCCCCCGATGCCACACACGCTCTCAGGAAAAGCTCCGGGGCAGCACCGGGCACATGGAGCGCACACAGAAATGCTTCCTGAAGGGAGCGGATGCAAATAACTTGAATGTAACAAGAGTTTTTAAAAATGTGTTATGTCTCTTGGAAATAATGCCATGGGCTTGAGGAAGTGGCTTAGCTTCTCACCGCCACAGCATTACCGCTGGCAGCATGTTACAAACAACAGCATTCACCCATCAGCTCGGTGTGAAAATGCTAGGGCCCACCTCATGGACGGAGCTCGGCACCCAGGGCGCAGCTCGCAGCAAGCGCTCAGTAGCTGAGCGTGCACAGGAGCCGGCACCGCCCTGCAGTCCAGCAGAGGCATGTGACTGGGTACCCGTGCGGACAGCCAGGGGCGGGGGAGTTCGGGAAGAGCGTGCATCAAGCACTCACTACTTTGTTTTTAAAAATACCCCCAAACTGCACACATGCGTTTGGAAGTGCACTTGGGAAGATCCGGAAGCAGGATCACGGGTGGCAACTCATCACGGTCTCCGCAAAGGCGGCGGGAGCGCAGCACTCACCGTCTGCGTGTCGTCCCCGGCTCTGCCGCAATGTTCTCAACGAGCATCTACTCTCCGCGTTCAGAGCTTCAGAGGACTTCACTGCGGCTTTTCTGTAGAAACAAGCAGAGCATCAGGAAGCAGAAACAGAGGTAAAACTGAACGACTAGCGTCAGGTGCAGGCGGGGCGCGCACGGGTGACCGCAGCACCATTCTGCCGACACAGGACACCATCCCTCTGTCTTCCCTCCTGCGGGAGTCCGAGGCTCGGCGACTGAAATTTTCCCAGGCAGCCTCCTGCCTCTCTCCCTCTGCCGTCCTCAGATCCCAGCCCCGCAGAGGGACTTGGACCACCGGCCCCCCTGGTCTGGGCACCTGCTCCGTGTGGTGAGCCTTCTACTGCGTCTGAACCTGGGGTGTGGTCCCCAGCGGTCACAGGTGCGCCTTCGTTTGTCCGTCGGCTCCACCACACTTGGCACGGTGCAGGGAATAGGTCAGCGAGCAACCCGGCTTAGAAGACATACCCCTCGCCGTTCCACTTGGACCAGGGAGTGGATGTGCCTGCCTTGGGCGGCCCCGCTGCTTGTTGCCACGAGCAGGGCAGAGCCAGGGCTCCTGACTGCCAGGAGAACACTGGTGTGCAGCCCCACAAAAACGGTCCGGAGGTTGCTGGCCTTGGCAACAAGCACGACTGGGAGATGGGTCTGGTCTCTCACGGGGCGGGGTGGCCCAGAGGCCTGAACTCACACTGTTAGGAAAACAGCAAAGCCTGATGAGATATGAAGATCGTCCATCAGAAAGAGAGCCTGATTAACAGAGGGACGGGAATTCACAGTCTGTCGCGGGCCCAATGTCCCAAACAAAACAGAACGCGCCTGAGTAGAAAGGCTAAGACTGATGAGCAAATTCAAAATAGATGCCCAACCCTCCTGACACGACCACTGAACGCAGGGCAGCCAGCTGAGCGTGCACACACACTCTCAGTGCGCGTGCGACACGGCCGTGTCCTGGGAATAAGAGGGCTCTTAGGACTTTGTCAGGTTTTCTTTAACAGTGTTAACTTGAGTCCTACGTCATAAGTAAATATACATTTAAACACATATGAGTTGTACTATTCAATTCACATATCTGGGAAGCTTGACAATATCCAAATTTCTATGCACAGTTTTTTCGGACTACATTTGGTGACCCCATGTTAGGGGGCCACCCTTCTCCGAATGGCAGCTAAACCCAGGGGCCTTATCTGCATCTCATCCACATTTTTATGCTGTCACTATAATGGGTAAAGGAAAGGAGGAAAGATAGCTTAGTGAGCAAGGACGCAAACTTAATTTCTAAACTGTATTTGCTTCTCTAAGCAATCCTCTAAATCATATAAAAAACATAATTAGCTGAACAGAGAAGACTTTCTCACATTAAAAAGGTTACTAACAAAATTCCCTACTGTTCCTTGCCAAGAAAATTGCAACCATGAAAGACAAAATGCCCGCACTGCCCCCTTAAAATAAACCTCTATATCAAAACATTTAAAAAGTCAAAAGACAGCTGAGATAGGTTTTCAGATTAAACAGCAGAAAATTCCGAGCTGCCTTTTCAGGAATGTCCAAGACTCTCAGTAAAAAGTTCTCTAAATCTCAAAATTCCTTTCCACACACACAAAATAAGGTTTATAATCCAGAAGAGGAACTAAGTAGTGCGTAATCATTAACTTGTCAAGAGCAATATATATTTTATACCAGCTTGCCTCCAAAGAAAACAAATTGTGAAATTAGAAGACTAAATCTAGGCTGTAGCTTAACCATCTACTGTGAGACCAGGCAACCTACCTACCTAATCTCTCTTAGCTTCAGTTTCCTATTCCTTAAAATAGGGGCATTTTTTAAAAAACCTGTCTGTAAGATAGACAAAGAACAAAACATTCAAGAACACACTGCATTCGCAAGGGTGTAGGAAATAGGCCATCGCCCTGGCCAGTGTGGCTCAGCTGGTTGGAGCATCATCTCGTAAATCAAAAGGTCGTGGGTTCGATTCCTGGTCAGGGCGCATGTCTAGGTTGCGGGTTCGGCCCTCTGTTGGGGTGCATAGGAGAGGCAACTGAGCGATGTTTCTCTCTTGCATAGATGTTTCTCTCCCTCTCTGTCCCCCTCCGTCCCCCTCTCTCTAAAGTCAGTGAGCAGGTTCTACCCTGGGGTGAGGATACAAAAAAAGAGAGAAAGGAAACAGGCTCCTCCCACGTTCACAGTGAGGGAGCCCCCGCCCCGACGAGCAGGAGCCGTGCGCTGCCAGTCCAGCCTGAAGCGCGCCCCGTGCCCCCGCCCCTCCACCTGTGGCCGCCCACCGGCCGCCGCCACGCGGCGGTCTTCCTCACTCCAGGAGACAGGGAGCGACCCGAGCACCTGCCACAGGGAGCCAGCCAAGAGCAGTTCACATTCCGCTCACCGCGGCGCGTGTACAAAGAAGACACAACTCCCCATAAGTACTTGACTGTGCACAGAACGCCTTACAGAGACTCACCGGGAACAGTCCGGGGCTGCGGGGTAGAGGCCAGCAACGGGGCAGGCCCCCCTTCTCTAGGGCTTTTGGAGTGGCATCCTGTTGCTTATTTACATTCAAAGCAAAGCACCGAAGTAAATATTCTAACCCGATTATCAAAGACATGAGGCGGCTAATAATGCTGAGCTCACAGGGCCATCATGTTCACTAAACGGGAATGAGCCCTGAGGATGAAAGAGCAGCTGGAATTTGGGTGTCAGAGGTGGGGCCCCGAAGGGGACGCGCCCGGGCCTCGCCGGGCAGCAGGACGTGAGGAGGCAGGCGGGTGACGGCGCTGTGCCCCGAGAGCGCCCGCACACGTGGGAGAGCTCACGTCCTGCGCCGGCTCTTAGGCCGGGCCCGGGAAGGGGCCCCAGGACCAGCGGCCTGTGCAGCCGACGGCAGGGAGAGGAAGAAATCCAGACCCGCAAGCTGCTCGCGGCGGCCCTGAGGCCAAGCCAAGGAGGCGCTACATCCTCCCGAGGGAGAGTCAGGGCCCGGAAGACAGGGGACGCTAGCACCAGGGCGCCACAGAGGACTTAACCCAGAGATGGGACCGGCGGCGCGGAAGAGGAGTTCGGGAGCCATGCACCGACAAGACGCAGCTGTGAGGATGCGCACAGTACTGGCCTGGAGGGAGGCGGGGGGGACCCAATTCAGTACCTAACTGACCTTTCAACCGCGGTGAAACAGCAACGGAATGAGTAGGAAAAAGGTGTGCCTGTATGTAAACAGAGTGATATTTTTACATGTATGATATAGGCCAAATGCAAATTTCTGTGATAACAAGAGGCAGAAGCGGAGAAAAACAGAATCAGTTACCAAGAGTTCGTGTTAGACTGCACAGCTCGCCTTTCCTGCAATCACGCGGCGGCAGCCAGAGCCCCGGATTTCCTCCTGGCTCTGCCACGAAAAATGCTAGAGCAGCGCGCCTGTGTCCCCAGGCTACCTGGAAAATCCGTGGGCCAGCCCCGCAGATTTCTGAGAGCCTTCCAATGTGCAAGGCCCAGGAGCAACGCCTTAGTACCAGCAAAGACAGCAAAACATGCCCCACCGACTGGGGGAGCAGCGAGACTCAGCACACAGAGAAAGGCCCTACAGGTGACATGGGCAGGGATGGGGACCGACCCCAGACAGGATGACAACAGCTGGCCGTGGGTAAGAGCCGATGCTCGGAGTGGATGACGACACGCCTGCACTGAGGCCACCCTGGTGTGAGCCCTCGAGGCCGACGGACCCACGGCTTACAGGCCCGCTGGCTCAGGCCGGCGTGAGCATCTTCCTCCAGGGGACACGCAACATCTAAATAATGCAAGCTCATCTACTTCATCTTTTAATATTTTTACCAACAACAGAGAGACGGAATATACAGACAGACGATGGCCAGGCCTCATGTAAAAACAGAACTGACCCACGGCCTGCAGCCACCAGCCCAGGACGCCAGACTGCTCCAAGCCAGACTTGCGGGACGTCAGCCTGCTGTCTCTAGTGACAACCTAGGGAGCCAGGGCTGGGTCAGTAACTGACAGCCGCCATGACTTTGCCCCACTTCCCACGCAGGACCCGCCTGAGCGAGCCAGCCCTGCTCCCCTCCCCAGCCACCTGGGACGCCCCCTTCCGGCAGTGGCCCCCCCCAACCCGGGGACCCGTGGGCCCCACGGTCTCCTCCAAGAAGCTCTCCCACGCTCCTCCGGCCTTTGGCCTCTACCAAAACTTGAGCTCCAAACACACAGCTTGTGCCTTTCTCACGTGGTCGGTCTCCGTCTAGTGCCACCCGGGGAAGCCTGGAGCCAGGCGCGCTCCTCCAGATGGCCGGTCCCTGCTTCAGAGGCTCAGTGGGGCGGTCTCCACGTCTGGAGAGGCCATCGCTCCGCCCCACCCCGGCTGCCTCCCACAAAGCCCACCCGCCTGAGTCCTTAGCCACTCCCCACCATCCAGGAAGTGACCAATTGTCAAGGAAAGATCAAGGGCTTTGAAGTCCAATTCTTAGTTTAGGTATTTCATGTTTCCCTTATAATTTTATGTGTCCTGGGACAACATTTTTAAACATCTCTAAGCTTCTGCCTTCATCTTTAATAAAAACAATACCTCCCCCTAAGACGGTATTAAACGGGACGCTCTGTGTATGCAGCTGACGAATACTGGGTGCCCAGCAGCTGCGAGCCCTTCCTCAGGCCACCTGGCGCCCCGGGAAACGCCGACCCGTCAGCAAAAGGCGGAGATCCCACCCTCCTCACCTTCCATTCAGACAGGAAACGTAGCCAGGTTGACTTACTGAGATTCGTTTCCATTTTCCAATGCAGGGATGGGCCACATCCCAGGTTTTCTATAACACCCGCCCCATCCCCCCAGCGCCCCAGCAGACTCCTGAGATCCTCCAAAGCGGTCACTGGGAAGCCCCGTGTCCACCTACCCCATCCTTCTGGTTTGATGCCCTGCATTACCTCACTCTTCAATCCATTTCAGCATCAAAAACAGAACTTTAACCCGCAACATTGTTAAAAGGGTGGTATCTCACTCTTTAAATCCTCTTCCAAATGGAAAACAAAACTTTAATCTGTAACATTGTTATAAGCAAAAA